GGGCCATTTGGGCAGGGAAATTCAGGGGTTTGGACTCCAGGGAGACACAGCCCATGCTAACAAAAGACGTGAAAAGACAGTGGCCAGCACAATGGCCTTCTGATGTATGAAATGTAGGGCAGGAGCGTCACTTGCCCAGGTCTGAGTGTAGGATTGTCTCTACCTCACTGACTACCTGCTGACTAAGCCAGGCTCAGAGACAGTGCAGGAAATGACAAATTCATTCTAGTTATGTGACTACTCTTCAGGACCATGGATGAAATCTTAGTGATGGTGTTTGCCATATCTGCTGGAAGGAGAATTGAACATTCTTTATCCTGTACTTTGAAAGCCTCTTGGGCAGTAATTTATTGACTATGAATCGCCAGGCCTAAGAAAGTGTCTGGCATATTATTTATAACTAAGGAAGGAAGGAGAAAAGATTAAATGGATATTTTCAATAAAATTAGGTAAGTATAATAATCAGTAAGATGAACAGTAGATATGATTCTATAGAGAACAGAGAATACTAGGCACATGCTGGCCCGGTGCGTCAGGAAAGCATTCCTGGAGAATTTTAAAGAATGGGCTAGATAGAATTCATGATGGGATGAGGGAAGGCCAGGCAGAGGGAACCTGAAATTTCATGGCATTTTGAAATAATTGTGATCAAACAGAACTTCAATGCCATGAAGGATGCTGATTCTTGTCTACATGTGCAATACTCTGCACAGGCAGGAAGTAGTAGACTTTGAATATGTGTGTTGGGTAAATAAAAGGATGTGATTCATCTCCATTTAAACCCATAGAAAAATCAAAACTGGGAGGAAGCTTACAAATATTCTAGTCTAGGAACTGGCAAAATTTCTGTAAAGGGCCAAATAGTAAATATTTCAGCCTGTGAAGGTTATATAACATCTGTTACAGTTTCCAACTCCTCCATGTTGCATGAAAACTCCCATAGAAAGTAAGTAAACAAGTTGGTTGACTTCTTTTTTATTTTTATTTGATCTTGTAGTCTATCTTATTGCAATTTTTAAAAATTTGTATCAGTACATGTTTGCAGTATGTAGTTATTATATTCATCATGTTGTGTTCTAATTAAACTTTAGATTAAGTGTTAATAAAATGTTATTTACAAAAATAGGCAAAGAGCCAGATTTGGCTCAAGAACTATGGTTTAGCAACCACTGCTTTAGTTCAACATTTTCATCTTATAGTTAAAAGCCAAAGAAATGATCTGGTTGCCCAGGATCACGTAGCTCCTTGGTGGTAGGACCTATACCAAATATTAACCTTCCACTGTAAGCATTTGAGTAGAGAATAAGTAGCATAAATATCTGGGGCAAGAAAGAACATGGTAAGCCCCAGACACCAATCTTCACAGGGGAAGCATGACTGAAATTAGATTCACAGTCTCAATGTAGTTCAAATAATGAAAAGGCAAGATAATGTAAAAAAGAACATAAACTGATAGTTGACTGTCTTCTCTCTGATGCATTCACAATACATTCTCATTTTGTTTCACTGAACCTCAAGTAGAGGGAGTCAGGGGCACCCAGAGTACACACCAAACCATGTTCCAGGACAGCCTGACAGGCCATGGATCCGATTTGACACTGTGTTTCCTGAATGGAGTATTGGTCAGCTTAAGAACCTGAGTCTCTAGGTGAACAACACATGACCCAGAAGCAGCCAGTTTGATCCATGAAAGAGCACAACCCAGTCTACTGCCCAGGAGGGGAACAAGCCTCTGATCACAATATCCTCAACTCAGAACACATGCACTCTAGGGACTCCAGATGTTAGAAGCCACTGCAAGATCATCCAGGCACAACTTTTTATATAATACATTGAGAAATTGAGTTCTAGAGAGAAGCTACAACTTGCCTAAGGTCCCAAAGCAGATGAGTGGCCAGAGTGGTTCTGGGTATTCAGTCTATCCCCAAATTCTCTACAGATGTTTCTCTGAAATCCTGCTGGAGTCCCCAGTCCACTCTTCCTTGCACATGCAGTCTTATCAACTTGTAGTATACAGGTGTACAGATTGCTAGGCATTGGCTGCAACACTCTCTACAACATTTCATCACATTGACTCCCTTTCCCTTAGATTCCAAGTGCCTTGCGGTGAAAAATGGATTGGCTGCATGAAGACGGAGCCTCAGTGTGAGAAGGTAGATCCTCCATGCCTCAGACACTCCCACTCTTCAGTAAGAGTCCCAAGATTCATTTCATTCCCCAATACAGGAGACTGTACCCTACTCAATTCCACATCAACTCACTGAACTCTGACTAGTTCTATTTGTGTTCAAGACTATCTGTCTTGTCCACTAGATTGAGAACTCCTTAAAGGTAAGAACTGTGTCTCATTCATCCCTCTACTCCCAGCTCCAAATCTGGCACATAGACAGGTGTTATGACCTGACAGATAAATTATTATATCCTTCAGAGTCAGGAATGCATAGCAGAGAAGTTAGGAGATTATGTTGACTGGAAACAAGCAATCCTGAGTTCAAATTCTGACTCACACAGTTAATTGCTATGTGACCATGAAAAGGTTATTTAATCTCTCTGAGGCTTAGCTTCCTCATGTGAGACACTGTCAGAATGAAATGAGACAATGCTGTTGAAGCAGTTGGCAAAGCTGCTGAAATTCAGTAAACACTCAATAAATGTCATGGAAGGGCAAGATCAGACTGCCAATATCATGGGTTGGTCCACACATAAGCTGATTGGGTTACACACAATATGGTCTCACAGTTATCTTTATTTAGGTATAAGGGGAGCCTGAGCAGAAGATAAATGAAGCATATCCATCCTCATGAGCAGAAAAACTAGAAAATACGTCCCCACTCATGTCCTGAAAGAAAGAACCCACCAGGTCCTGGCATGGTCTGCCCAGTATCCAGGCCAGCAGACTCCTCTCTCTCTGTAACCCCAGCCCTGCACGGTGTCATGGCCCTCCTAGCCTTCTACTGACTGAGGGAGCCCCAAATACTTTTCAGAAAGCCAACAACCCATAGTCTTTTGTGAAGTCCTTCATATCTTAGGCTGGCCTATGACATTGGAGAGATATAGTTGGGAGCTGACAAAGAAGAATACACTGTTTTCAAGACATCAGTACAAAAAAAAAAAAAGACATCAGTACAGCAGTACTGATGTTAGTTACATGATGTTAGCAGTACTGATGTTAGTTACATGATGTTAGTAACAGTACACCTGTTAGTCAAAGCTGGCTGAGCTCCAGCAGAGCTGTGAACACAAAAAAAGGCATGAAAGATGAATTGTGGGTAGCAAGAGAATGAGATCTTCGAGCAAATGGTCTTATATGCTCACAAAACTGGATAGTGTGTAAATGCGACAAGTTTCTTGGGAGGTCGAGCAATAGAATCAAAGGCAAAAGTTGTGGCAGCTCCAAGGTGAACCAAATTGATCCCAGTTGTAATTAAAATCACAAACAAAAGAAGAAATAGGAAGATAAATGGAAAAATCAAATCAAAGCTCCAAAACAGGAAACTGTTTAAGGAATAAAATCTGAGCAAATTAAATATATATACATGGAATAATATAACTTAAAAAAAAAAAAAAACACATTTCTGAAATGCTAAGTCAGAAGGTTGTGTATACAACCTAGTGTGGGCCCTCAAGGTCTAGTTCTGGGGAAGTAAAGCAATGGCATACTGGAAAAGTTGGTATCTCCCACTCCTCCCATATTCCCCCATTCCAAAGAAAGCCTGATTTGCAACATTTGCTCATTTCCATGCTGTGAATATTTCTGCCATAGCCAGTTTTGAGCTACCAATTTGACCATTAGATCTGAGAAGAAATTTAGCAGTTTAGAAATTTAGCAAAACCAGTACAACACCCCACCCACTCACCCAGGACACAGCAAAGTAAGTTGACTCTGAGGAGCATAAAGAGAAGCAAGGACATTGTACATACAGCCCCCAAGGAAACTGAAAGAAGTGAAAAGATCAAAGATTGCTCAAACGCTTGCCCAAAATAAGGCAGACATAGCATCAGACCAAGACTCTGCTACCCACTGGCTGTATGATCTGGGAAAATTCCTTAATCTCTCCTTTTCAATTTCCTTGAAAAATGTGGCAGCTAACATTGGTTGGGGGACGTTGTCAGGATTAGGAGAGATAATGAAGGTAAAGCTCTCAGGGCAGTATCAGGCACTTGGGAGGCCCTGGCCAAGGATCCTATCCATTTCTAGCAATCCTTCCATCCTCCTTCTTCTTGGAACGAGTAAAGTTCTTTACACAGGTTAGTTTATTGTGAACATATGTCTTCAGACTTCAAATATTCTATACATTTGTGTTCATGGGTTCCAGTCATTTTATGGGGTCCTAATTTGGGAATTCAGAAAATATGTTTCACATAATATAATATGAATTGCACTGCAGAATTGACATTCACATATGTATCTGTCTTTGTCTATAAGAGCTTCTGGAAGGCAAGGACATATACCATTCTTCAGTTTATCCCCACTCCTTAGGTTAGTAACCAATATACAGTGAGTTCTTGGTAGACATTAAGGAGAGGAGTTAATGAACAATTTTGTCCCTGTTGCACGGTACCAATAGAAAGAGAAAACAGAGACCAGCAAACTTGGATTTGAACTCTGTTTCTCTCAGATATTGGCCAAATTACCAAGTAAAACAAAATATCTATAAAATGAGATCATAATTGCTGACTCATTGGTTACTGTGAAAATAATGACAGTAAAGTGTCTTAGGTACTCTGCAGATTTTTTTAAATGACAATATAATTCACAAAAGTACCCAAATCTTAAGTGTGTCCCACAAGAACATTGAATATACTCATTTATCCACCACCCAAATCAAAATATCAAGTATTTCTACTAGCTGCAGAAAGTTCCTAAAGTAGTTTTAAATCATGACTAAAAAATTTTTGGCACTTTGCATTTAAATGTGGGGTATTTGTCCCTGTTCCCTGAAACTGAGCAGGACTGTGACTGTCTTGACCAAAAGAATACAGCAAGCATGACACCAAAATTAAATCAGAAAAGGACACAATTTCACTTTATTTTCTGTAATATTTACTCTTAGTATCCTGGGCACAAAGTGAATCTGACCACCTGAAGTCACCATACAGGAAATGCCTTAGGGTGGTACTCAAGTCAAGAGTCGCATAAGAGCCCCTCAAGATGTCAGACTTCAGAGAAGCCATTTTGAATCCTCAAAATCAGACTAGTCATCACTTCCACCTGGAAAAAGAAGAAACAATAAAGCACTGCCTGACTTCCTGGTTCATGAAATTGAGGGGAAAAAATGAACTGATTTAGGGTGGTTTGCCATATTAATAGATAACTGGAATAGTTCACATGTGCCCCTGTCCAGTCAATAACATTGCCCTCCTCCTCTGAGTTTTTATCCTCTGAGATAAAAACATTTCTGATCTTTATTACTATAGAGTAATTTTGCCTTTTCTCAAACTTCATGAAAATAAAATCACCCAATACAGACTTTGTGACAAGTGTCTTTCTCTCATACAATGTTCCTAAGAATCATTTGTGCTGTTTGTATCAACAATTATTATTGCCAAGCAATAGTCCGTGTTATTAATATATTGTGACTCATTTATTTGATCTCCTATCAATAGACATTTGAATTGTTTCCAGTTTGGAGCTTTGACTAATAAACCTGATTTCATCAGAAATTCTTTCTTAGACATATGTTTTCATGTCTCTTTAACATATGCCTAGAAATGAAATTGTTAAGTCATAGGTAACATGTATATTGATATTTATTAGAAAGCATCAATGTCTTCAAGTTGGCTACACTATTTTATTCTCCCACCAGCAGAATATGAGCATTCTAGACCCTCTTAATCAATGCTTCATATTGTCATTCATCTTTATTTCAGCCATTCTAATCTGTATGCAACAATATCTCTACAGCGTTAGTTTAATTTTAACTTCCCTATGACTAATGACGTTGAGTACCTTATTGACCATTTATACATCTTCTTTGTAAATTCCCTGCTTAAACTTGGACACTTTTTAAAAACTGGGTTATTTATCTCATTATAACTGACTTGTAAGTATTCTTCATATATGTTTGATACTAACCCATTGGCAAATATTTTCTCATGTTATAGCTTGTCTTTTCACTTTCTTAATTGCATCTCACGATGAAAGAATATTTATTTGTATTTTGATGAAATCCAATTTATCATATCTTCTTTTTCTAGTTAATAACTGTGATCTGCTTAAGAAGTCTTTGCCTATACTGAGATCATAAAAAAAATTCTGTTTTCTATTAAAAGTTATACTGTTCTAAATTATACCTACAACTTATTTCAAATTAATTTCTTTGGATAGTGTGAAGCAGGAAAAAGAATTTATTTAGCCTCCATACAGATATCCAGTTGCTCTAGTACCATTCATTGAAAAGACCTTCTGTTCCCCCCTTTGGAGTACATTGTTGCCTTTGTTGAAATTTGAGTGAGTCTACACCTGTAGGTCTGCAATCTAATTAAACAAACGTTCTCTGGGGATCTCTTTTTTGGCTAGGCATTATCTTTGGGATATTTTGGGGGAGGAGACAGAGTAGAGAATAAGACACATTCCCTATCATTGAGGAAATCACAGTGGGTTTCAGGTCTCGTGACCTGAGACCACCTTCACTAACACTTACCCCACTCTTCAGAACTCCCCCTGGAATCCAGAATGGAGAATTAGAAGAATGTTTTGCCCTTTGTTAGTTATAACAATGTTAAGACATTCTAGTCCATTCTATAGCACTCTAGTCAGTTCTATAAAGCAGGTGACCTTTATCAATACAAGCCTTAAACTTCTCCATTCTTGAAGAGTGATTTAGAATGGGCTCACTCCTGAGATCATTCTCACACAGTAATGTGCTTCACTAACCTGATATAAGGTGAGAGTTTTATATGTTACCAGGTATTCTATGATCAACCAAGCTTAGAGACCTCTAACCTCTGAAAGAGGTGAGGTAGGAAGATGCTTAAAATTTTCTTAGAAGTAATGTCATTATAAGAATGTAATTGATTAGTCAGATAAAATTATTGTATTTGTTCAAATACTTTCCAGCTATAATGGGGCAAACACAGGAAAGAAGGGACACAAGGAAGAGCCTGGAAAGGGTTGAATGCCAGAAATACAGTGCAACAATTTCATAATTTTACCTGAGGCCCTGCTTAAACCTCAAGACCAATTTTTATCAAGTTGGTGATAGATTATAGGTCTGTTAGCCAATTTAAGTTCTAATATGAAAAAAATTCAGAGACAAAAACTAATTGAGCATAAGATAAGGCAAGCTGATATGACAAACTCCTAGGAAAATGTTATAAGCAACAGTAGCAAGTTTTAAAATGTGACAGAGGCATGGTGACACAGCAGGTCTGCAGAGGATCAGAGTATTTCCACAGTTGTGAAAATCCCTAAAGATGACAGGCCAAAGAAAACTGGTTCCAAGACTGCTTATGGAACGAAGCAAGGAAAGGTTGGGACTAGGTTTGTCTGTAGTGCAATTTTCCGTGAGTCACACAAATTTTTTCTTTTCTCAGTTGAGGGTGGTGAACAGATGGCTGCAGTGTTGGGAGAGAGTGAATCCAAGGATCTTGCTGAGAACAAAGTGGAATAAATATTCTTTGGACTAGGACTAACACCAGAAATCATAATGATCTCTGCACAAAATCTCCAAAAGGACACTCCAAAGGGCACAGCCTCCTGTGGAGGGAAAGAAGCCACTAATAACCAGAATGGACCTGGGTAAGCCACTTCCATTTCCTAGGCTTTGATTTACATTCATCGTGAAACCCTATAGTCATGGCCCCTAAGTTTCCTTGAATACTGGGTGGCGTTTGCTGGTTCACTAGGTCTTCCTAAGAAATTAGAAAGCCTACTGTGGTCACTAAAAAATTACTCTGCCCACAAAGCCCCACCCACTTTTCCTCATATCCAGTTGTACCTCTTAGGCCAGGGCCTGGGGCAGGATTCTCAAATGGGCTTGATGGCATGAGAAGAAAGGAAAGAGGGTGAGGGTGCCACAGCTCTCCTGCCCAGCAGCAACCCCTCTCTGTGCCCAAGCAGCAGAGTCTTTGGAAGCACGTGTGTAGTCTTCTGCTAACTCCTCCCCTACCCCCACTACCCATCATTAATTCCTCATCTTGGCGGGGAAAATGTGGACAGTTACTCACCTAGGTCCCTTCTCCTCGAGAAAGAAAGGACATTGCAAAAAGCTAAAAGAACTTCCCACTGTGTCTAGAAAGCCAGTACTAAAAATTATAGTGCATCTTACAACTTTAAAATGCTCAGGCAGATTCTAAAGTGGCAGGCTCAACAGTTAGGGCTAGAATAGTTGGGGGATTTGAGCATTCACAATAAAAGCTAAAGCATGGCACCAACACTCTGTCTTTCTCTCATATACTCACACACAATCGACTCCACGACCTACCTCAGCAATGACATCCAAAGACATCCCCCCACTAGAGGATGCAGAAGAAGTTGACTATGTTCTCTTCCTTTGAGTGTTTTCACTGGCTCACTTTGGCTTCAAAATAACAGGACATGCATCTTAGAGGACTTCAGAATAGGTTTCCACAGTGACTTCACAATTTTTGTCACTATTAAGAAAAATAATGACACTGCCTTACTCAGTTGAAATCCCTGTTAGTGGTGAAGACTTCTAAATTCCCCTTTCCACAGAAATCACACTACCATCTCAGAAGTCTGCAGTTGAGGCTCAAATGAAGAACAGTGATTGCAATCATGATTGTGATATGCAAAATGGAAATGGATTTGAAAATTCTGTATTTCAAAAGATATACTCTCTAAGCACATCATCTTCCTTGACAATATTCCTATTGTTTTTCAGGATCAATCCCATAAGGGATATGCTGGCTAAGACATGAGGAAGGGCAGGTCCACACTTTACCTTCAGGGCCCTCTGTTGGCAGGTCATCAATTTGACTCACCTAAAGAGACCCGAATTCTTACCCTTCCCTGCTTGCATGCCTAGCACAATGTAGGCATACATTAGGTCTGTGGAATGGATTTTCAAATTCAAGGCGATAACCAAGTAAATGGACATATCAACACAACAGAATTTCAGAGGACATTGTGACCTAGTACAATTTAACTTGTGTAAAACAGATATGAAGGCAACTAAACCAAGAACAGATTTCCAGCAGCCAGCTAGTGCACTCATCCCCTTCTTTAAGAGAAAGTCAGAGTATTTTTCCTGGTTTCTATTTTGAATCTTCTCACTAATCACATAAGCTCATTTCCTCTTTTTGAAGGAGTGTGGAGGAATCCCTAATAAACAGAGGACAATCCATCGAACTTTCTGACATAAAAACAATGCATAGCTTGGAAAGACAAGGAATTCCTCAGATTATATTACCCATAACCTGCAAAATGTCTATAGGCCCTATCTTTTAAAACTTCTTTCTTTTCCCATAATTTGGAAGATAAGTTCCCCCAAATCCCTTTTAATACTCACAGCTGTGTCCAATGTGTTCCTGAAGTCCCAAAACCTCAACCCACTGATGTGAGTAGTGATCCCTGAGGTTCTCTCCTTCAACCATGAGAGGGGTCTGTTTGCAAAAGCAGCTCCACAAAGTATGTATCCTTATCCAGGAAGGACAGAATCTATTTTACATCATGTATCATGCATTTGAAACATTTGTCATTTTTTTCAGACAAGAATTCAACAATCTACTCCATCCACAGCCAGTTCTTTTTATGCAGTATCAGCCAAATAGATATATGGGAACCTAAATGTCTGGAACTCAGTCTAAGATGCCCCATGCATTCATAACACATTTACAATGATGAGACAGAGAGAGAGAGAGAGAGAGAGAGAGAGAGAGAGAGAGAGAGCAAGAGAGAGAGAAAAGGGGGGAGAGGGAAGGGGAGGGAAAGGGAGAGAGAGGCAGGGAGAGAGGGGGAGAGAGAGAGAGAGAGAAAGAGAGAGAGATTATGAGGCGAGTGGGGAAACTTCTTCATCCTTAACTTTCTGTAAATGCCAAGGTCTGTTTTGTCCTCATCTTAAGTAAATGAATTACAAGCTGTAAATATATCAGTTCCATGAAAAAGGAAGTATACAAGGTACATTCCATTCCCAGATCAAATTAAACATTTTACTCCAAAGCTATCTATTTTCACTCGTACCAAGCCCGATCTGAGCTTCTCTGTATTAAGCAAGGATTTTGCACCACGGTAAAAGCTACCTTTTCCAAATACTCACCCCCTATTCTTAATCATATTTACCTCCCCTGATGATTTTGTTCATTTTTTCTATTGAAGGGGTGTTAAATGAATCTTTTATTTTTCTTGTTTCTTTTTATCTTTTCCCTAATCTAAGATCTAACTCTTATCTAACCATGGAGAAAATTATTTGCAAAACTGAGAGAAATGAGACAATGTGAGAAAATTACTCTCGACTTGGAAGACATGTCGAACCCAAGGCAAGTTACGAAGAATTTTCTCCCAAGTAAGATTCACATGTGGCTAAAACTGAGTGGCCAAATTTATTCCCAGTGTCTGAGCCACCACAGGAGTAAAGAAGGCCTCTCCAAGTGTCTGTGGAGCCATGCCCTCTGAGAGCTGTGTGGTTTGTAGAAGAACCTTTAGAGAGCTGAACAGGGACATGCAAGCCTTTTGGTCATACTAGGTTGGCTCTACCACTTCATCCTTTGTTAGTTTTTAAAATTTGCTTTCAAAAATCTTTCCAACTTATGCTCCAAATACCTAAGTTTCAACACTAGAGATTCCTTGACATTCCACAAATTCTGTATATGTAATTTGATAGAACCTGAGATCTTTGCCTCTCAACAGGTGACCAACCTGTAGATAGAGACCATAGCTTGTATCTCTGTATCCCTATCAGTTACCCTGGTGACTGGCACACAGTAAGTGCTGGATGAAGACATTCTGTCAAGGGAATAAAACAATGAATGAAAGCTCAAAATAGGCCCAGCACTAGCTAGGCAGATCTTGGGAAGGAGGGGAGAAGAGAAGAAAGGAAGAGGAGGAAGAAGAGAGCAGACGGTTAGAGGTTAGAGGGAAAGGGAAAAAGGAGAAAACAGCAGCTGCATAATAGAAAGTTCTGATTCTTCAGAAAGATAAGATTTTCTTGCATGGAATAGTTGAGGAACAATTAAACCAGTGTACATAGTTCCCTTATCTGGAAAACAAATAAGTGAGATGAAAAAATAAAATTATATCTGCACAAGGAAATAAAGAATGAGTGGGGGGTACACGTGCATGCGTATGCATACTACGTGCATGCATGTGTGTGGAGGAAGAGGACAATGATAAAGACGAGGAGGAGGGAGGGACGTAGGGGTGGGCTTGGGAAGAAAGGTAACAACTATTGTCAAGGGAGCAAGGTTGCAGACCAACTTTTGCCAGGTCAGCTATATCTATTCATCAGGCTCAACTGATGCCAATAGTCTGGACTCCTTTTTGCCTGAGTAAACAAAACCTAAAAGATTGTTAGAGTTTATGTGCTTGTTTTCTTAGCTCTTCTAAAAGTGCTATCAGCCAAAGGCATTGCTCATGCCCTACTCTTTCAACACCCTCAGTTTGTTCTGTTTACCAAGCAAACAACTGGTGTGAGGCAAACACCATCTCCAGCTCGGAGAAGCTGCTCTGTGGACTTGCTGACCTGTTTGAAGACCTGAAAAAAATTAACTTTCTCTATTGAATCTACTTCTTACCTTTTTGAATGAAAGGATCCCTCCCCTCCCTCAGATAGAGAGCTCTGCTAAAAAAAACCCTTTCCCATTTGTCTCTCAAGCCTCCTCACAGCCATCATCATCCACGTTGTCACTTAATCCCATAGCTAGAACCTACAGGTTTGGCCTACATGCTGATGATAAACCATACACTGACTTTTATTTATTATATCACATGCTGGGGTTAAGGGCACTTCAGGTAAACTTCTAGAAACTCATGCCACATGGCATAGGTATACGTGCACACGTGCACAGGCAGAGAAACAAACTCATAATCTGGGACATTTCTATCACATTGGTTTCTGAAGTTATAATTTTATTAAGAAGCCCTTTCATGTGGCGAGGACTTATGCCTTTCTGCCATAGAAACTGCTTTGAAAGAAACTAAGAAAGTGGGGAGTAGGGGAAGGGATTTCCATGTGTGAACTAAACGAGAAAGCTTATTTCAATTAAATACCTACATATTTTGTCATTGTCTAGAATGAGTGTGACATTTCAGTAACACAAACATTTTCATTTGATCCACTCCATGACTATATATAAATCTTATGGATTTGTCCAATGTTTATTGCCATTATTTATAATGGTTTGCGAGTATTGCAGATGTTAAGTCAATGCTATCTGTTTTACATCAAAAACTTCTAGAAAGTAATGACCCTGATGCTGAGCAGTGTCCCAAACCACAGAGGTTTCCAACATTGACTGCACATCAAATGCATTAGGAGAGCTTTGATTAAATATTAATTTAAGACCATGAATCTTTGAGTCAAGATCTCAGGGGGTGGGGAAGGTCTTAGAACCTCTGCTTTTACCACATTCCCAGGGATCAGCAGCAGCCATTTCAGCCCCTGTGCAAGGCTTGGGACACATGGTCTAGCAGTGCAGCTGAGGGTGTTAGCGGGGTCTTCTGAATGAAACAGCATCTGCCAGCCTCCAGGTCTCTCTGGGGCCAACGCTTCTCACAGTATCTAGAAGAGATGAGTGAGGAAAACCACCCATGTCCTAGGCAAGGAAAGACCTCAGAGAAGGTATTTTGAGCCAAGACATCAGAAGATTTTTATGGTAGAGTTCAGCCCACCCTGTTCCTTTTGATTGTGCTGATCCCTTCTCTGTCCCCCAAGTAGTCCCTCCTTCTGGAGGCTTCCTGTCAACACTAGGGAAAAAATGAAATCGTTAAAGATGACTCAGGATTTCTCTTGTTATCTGTCCAGGCATGTTTCAAAATTGCACCTTCCAATATTTGTTCTAATTCAACATTCACCCAAGCTCTACCACTGTACCTTTCCCCAGCCCCCAAAGAGATGCCAGCTGAGATCATGCTATAAGCAATAAGGACAATCTTGAACCTCACATTAACCTCCTTCCCTCATTTATTCATGGTATTACAGCCATGAATGGTATTACATTTTTTCCTAAAACATGATAGAAGCTCCCCACCACCTCCTATAGGCACTGAATGCATAGACAAGATGGGTGCTGAGAATTCTAGTTCTCACTTTTTCATCTCCTTATTTGTCAATATTTCTCTCTCTTTCTCTGCCTTTTCTCTGCAGTTTTCCTTTTTATGCTGAGCAGACCACCAGCAAATCCTAAAGGGCTATACCTTAGCAAAGCAGAAAGAGCAAAGTAGGAGTGCCGAACTGACCTGCTGGGCTCTGCGACCCTCTTTGAAATTTTTCCTGAGTCTGCCATCCCAGGGACACAAACACGTAAATGTCTAAGTTCTTTAAGCTATGGTCTCTTCAGCATTTATAAGAAAGTTGCTGACTGCCCCCCATGACCTACAGCTGTATTTTTTCCAGCCCTAAATTGTACTGCCTTCTTTTTTTCTTAAGCAATCTTCTTTCTGCCCCACTTCCCACCACCCCTCATCCTGAAACCCCCAGTCATCCAGTGGTGAAGTACCAAACAAATTGGCAGTTCTCCCTTTTGACCCAGGTTTACACTAAGTACTAACGTTTCACAGCTTTCTCCCTACTGCTCAGATATTTGTATCTAGGATTCCTGTCTCACAGATGTATTCTTACAATTCTGGGCAAGACTTTGTTATGTTCCTGCCTCTTTCCACCAAGAAAGGGATGAATTTTTTGTTGCTATCCACCAACACCTCTTATTCTGGTATCCATTCATGGCTTAAGAGAGAAGTTTGGACAGGGTAAATATCCAGGATTCACACCTGCATATGCACCAATATTGGCCACCAACATTAGGGGGTGCTGCCACCCCTCCCTGGCAAGGACCTCCCTGCCAATTCCCTGTTGGAGAGGCCAACAGTGCCTCCCTAAATAATCTGCATACATCTGCAGTTAAATTTTACAAGGAATCTTATCACATTTTTTCCTAAAATTCCAAATCCATCACATCTATGGAACTCCTTTTATCCAATTACTGAGTAATTCTGTGGGTGGAAAAGAATAGTGGAAAAGAAGACCAACTCATCTTCCAGTGCCCATCAAAGTCTCAATGTCTTCTTTCTTGTTTGTCAGCAGCACTGGTGCCTTGGCACAACCTAACTTGCTCCCTACCCAGGTTTTTGCCCTTTCCCCTAGGTGATACTTGTTTCTCATGGGTGCTCTGACACATATGAAGAAGGGATTATGTTTGGATTCCAGCTCCAAATATTTGTTACACTTAAAAATTAGCAACATCTGCAGGTTTCCATGCTTGCCATCATCTAGAGTCTTGCAGACAGATGCATTTATTCATTTGACACTCTCTGAAATGTAGCACTAGAGCATAGTTTATGGGTCTCGAGTCTGTGAAAAGGTGACTACAATTACTCTGACTCCCTAGCTCCCATTTATGATGGCTGTGGGCTTCCCGATTTCTTTGCACTAAGATAAATTCACAATCTCTTGAGCTAAGAAAATGAGACTAAGACATGAATCCAATTACCACTGTGTCATGAATTCTAAAAATTGGAGAAATTTTGCTCCCTAGAATGTCAGTGGGCCAAAAGGACACATAAATTACTCTTTTCCATCTGGGTGGTTGGCATCATGTGGGTATAACTGGTCTAGTTCAACTGGCTTGACGAATACTGAAATTATGCACAGAAAATCCCATTACAGTGTCTGCCAAATCCTTGCCCATAGATAACACGCTGAATTTTGCTGCATCAAGTGTTTTGTGAAAGAAGAGACCACCTGCCTAGAAATTTCA